GGCCAATGGTCAAACGACTACGGCATGCACGACTATGAGTACACCCCCCCCCGCCGTAGAGTTGGCTTGTCTATGCGCCAGCGCGATCAAGTTACCGAAAAGAACCCATCAGCACACAAAAAAATCAAAGCTTCGGAGCTACGCCGTACACCCGAATTTCGGTTCCGTGATTTTGCGGGTCACTCCGATATCCGTTTGTGCACGCTTGTTGACATACTCCGGGGCACGTTTTTGTGGGGAATTCTATACGGCTTCCACCGATACATCCAATTGTTCCCTTAAAACAGTCGCTTCTATGCCCTGTAGTGTGGACGTAAGCATGGTAACCGCAGCAGTGCGGCACTTCCGCTGTGCACCAACACAAGAACCACGCACAAAATGCACCTGACGGGCAAAAGAAAGAACCGTCGATAGGGCTCGCTCGACACCTATTTAACACTCACGTGGCCGCTGCACAACGGTGCCGCCTCCGCCACGATGACTCTGAAGTTAAGGCCGTCCTTCGCTCCACCAGCAGCGGCCTTAAGGAAAGCATCTACCGTCGCCGAGTTGCCGAAGGTCAGTATGACCTCGCTATGGCAAAACGAGGACGCGGAAAAGAATGAGGGTGCGAGAAAATCAACACATGTACAATATACAGCACAAGAACGAAGACAAAACAAGAATGAAGACAGAACGAGCATAAAGACAGAAAACAAGAACGAAGACAGAACAATAACGAAGACCAAACAAGAACAAGAACGAAGACAAAACTAGAATAAAGACAAAACGAGCACAAAGACAGAAAACAAGAACGAAGACAGAACAAGAATGAAAACACAACAAGAACGAAGATAGAACAAGAATCAACGCAGAACAAGAACGTAGACAAAACAAGAACGAAGACAGAGCGAGAACGAAGATGTCGAAACTAGGTCAACCATACTGGAGGATCCTCATGGAGACAGCAACCTGTTTCACAAGGTTACCATGGAGGAATCAAGATACAAGGCTCGCTAAGGCCTTATCGTATGTTGTTCAACACGCCAAACGTCACAATCTCCACGGCAAAAACGACTCATGTGCGGGCCCACACCTCGCACACAAGAACCACCACCACACACCCGCAACACCAAACACCAGCAACCAAAACATTTCCAAATACTAGAGCGTCGACACGGGCATTCGAGATGAGACCCACTTGGCGTGTATGGTGTCCTTTGCGTGCTCCTTGATGACGCCTCGCATGTCCCGCAACTCCGTCATGAGCTCGCTGACGCTGGCCACCACGTTTTGTCGAAGGTCTGGGCACGACCTGCGGATAACAACAATTCGCAGCACGTCGTTGCGGCGGATGGCGTAAAACACTGTTGCTGTTGCTATTGCTGTTGTTGAGTGAGGTTCCTTGGCCCTTCTTCAGCCGCAGCAGAACTTGCATGCCTTGATCGAGAAAATCCAGCGCTTATTTCTGACCGGAGAATGCTTGACAAGTACAGTCCTGGGCAAGGGACACCACTTACAAGAACACTACCCCGGGTTCGGACATCTCTTATATCAGAGGCATGGGGGCTTGCAGGATGTACGACATACGGAGGCCTACCAACCTTAAAGGACGCTTCCCCTGCTTGCGGATAACTGTTGAAACGAAAAACAACTTGTGTCCTTCACCAAGGGAGGACCGTACCCTGCTACATCGACACGAAGAAAAACTGCCCCATACAACGAGAACAAAGTCGGTCAGGGGAAAATTGTAGGTCAAGGAGGACGGGGATTTCCAACACCGAGAGAATTTCGATCTTCGCCGCAACAAAAACAAGAATTGAGCCAAAGTGGCTGACCTTCCGAAGTCGGTGGCGCCGAACTGTCCTCCCAGCATCCCCGTGAGCGATGGCCCGAGCCCTCCCCCCTCCCCTGTCCCGGCCGCCCCTCCCGCCCCTCCTGTTGCAACCCCTGCACCCCAAACATAAAGTTTTTGTTGTTGCTGCTGCTCGCAGTGATGGTTTGCCTGTTGGTGGCGGTTATTGTTGCATTCACTACCGTTGTCGCTATCGGTGGTGGCGCTGATGGTGATGGTGCTGCAATAGGTATTAGTCATGGATCGGCTGCTGCTGCTGTTGCTGATGGTGGCGTTATTGGCGTTGTTGGTGGTGATGGTCGTGATGGTGTATTTGGTGTCAGCGATGGGTTGCCTATTGCTGTATTTACTACTGTTGTTGATGATGCTGTCGTCGGTGATGGCGGTGGCGGAAGCGCAAACACAGTAGCTCGACGCCGAAGTCCGGCTTCGCTGCTCTTGCCGGCGTTGGTTGTGACGGTAGAGCGAACGTGCTTGTGACCGGCACAGCCATCGAATGACAGAAACCACACAATGTCCTGATACGCGAGTGACAAGGTCATAAAAGCATTCTCGTGGGTACTCCACAGTTGTTGCTCCCACAAATGCTGCTCAACAGCTGTACCAAAGTCAGAAGGAAGACAACAGCTGTACCAAAGTTAGAAGGAAGACAACAGCGAAAGGCTGGATCCGAACGATTGGCAAATTGGTATCGGAGGAAAGGGAGCGGCGCGGCAGCCGCGGTGAAATACACCGTGCAACATAGGGTGACGAGGGACATACACGGCCCTTCGGCGAATTCAAGGAAATTCAGTATTCGACGAGAGAGAATTTACTCCTCAAGTACGTATCTACCCAACAAACACAGCAGTCAAGAATCGGAGAGACAGAGAGAGAGAGAGAAGCAGGGAGAGAGAGAGAAGACAGAGAGAGGCAAAGGCACGACAGATTCAGAAAGAGAGAAAATGAGACACAGAGACAGAGAGAGCGAGAGAAGAGAGGACTGTATCGGATCGAAGGCTACGTAAAGAGGTAGTAGGGGTGACGGAGTAGAGCGATGGCCCCGGCTAAAAAATGAAGGTTTTAACACAGCCGTTCTAAGCAGTGCCCCCCCCCGCTACCCTGCTTGTCCTGGCTCACCACGGGCGGTGGATCCCCCTCTGCTGTTAGCCTTGCCGTGTCCCCCTCCTCCTCCTCCTCGCGATGCAGATGGCGACGAAAGCGAAGCCGATGTTGCTGCTGCAATGAAGAAGCCGGAAACCAAATACACCCAATCGTCGTGGAAGAGTGAATCAAAATTCGACGGGTGGCGATGAAAAAGGAATATCACTCCAAGGTGAAAGCGAAGCCGATGTTGCTGCAATGAGGAAACCAGGAAATCGAATACACCCCATCGTTACAAGCGAGCAAACGCAGACTAGAACCGGGGGGGGCGCAGCGAGCACAGAAAGTCACCCGATGGTGAACAGTACTCTGTTCGAGGAAGGAGTGGAAGTCTCAAGTTGCGAGTGTACGACGTCGACCAACGTCTCGCAATGCCAAGCAAAGGCAGGCACCATGCTTGCCGAGGGTAGAAGTCTACCACAGGTGATGTACCGTACATGGCACAAGATAACACACCTCCTGGACCGATTTTCAAATACCGATTTCTTAACAACAGCAAGAGTCACGGCGCTGAAAACGGCGGCGTTGGAATCGTCTCGTCGAAAGCTTTCCAAAAATATATCGTGTCGTTTATGCATCCTCTTCGTCGTGGAGTAATCGAGCTTTGAAAATTGGTCCAGGGGGAGTGTTATCTTGTGTCATATATGGTAATACTTTCACACCCGCTGGACCAAATTTTCAACGCTCGATTACTCCACGACGAAGACGATGCACAGACAAAACGGTAAGCTTTCTGAAAGCTCTCGATTCGTGGTTCCAACGGCCCCATTGTCGGCGCCAGCATTCTTTCTGCTGCGGAGTAATCGAGCGTTGGACGATCGATCCAGGGGGTGTGGAATCTTGGGTAAACTTCGGTACTCCAACGGGTGCCCAATAGAGGCAGAAGTCAAGCCTGCGGCATCGTACAAGTCAGCGAGCATGCCGAGCAAAAAAACATACACAGTCTGAAACAAAAAACCTACGCTTCCACAAAACGTCCCCGCAACACATGGAACACCTTCCATAACACTTCGCACGCCTTCCACGGCTGAAAAACAACGCTAACGGCCAAGCACAATGCTGAATGGTCGCTACTGTGTCGGCCATCGCGCCGAGCCCACCCCCACGCACTTACAAGGAAGTCGGCAACAACGACCAAAATAGCGGCGACAACACAGGAGGAGAAGCATTTACCACCGGCTCACCCTGCCCACTGCCGCTTCCATCACCGGCAGAGAGAGCAGACTCGTACTCGTCTCTGATGATGTACAGCACCCGCCGAACCTGCAGCCAACCGGACGAGGGAGGAAGCAAGGCAAGGGGGGATGGGGGGGGATGGTCGCCAACATCCCTTCGCAACTACCACGGTGTCTCGAAACAAGCTTTGAAACTCGGTCCAGGGGAGTGTGGTATCTAACGTATGCGACCTACGGGGTGATACAAATTCAGATAACCCATCCCCCGGACCGATTTACAAAGCTCGATTTATCAGCAGCAGAGAGAGTCGCAGCGCCGAAAACGGCGGCGTTGAAACCGTCTCGTCGAGAGCTGTCCGAAGATGTGTCGTTTCGTACATGCAATCATTTTCGCCGTGGAGTAATCGAGACTTGAAAATCGGTCCAGGGGGTGTGGGAACCATGTTTGGTGGACACGGCGGTCGGTATGACGCACGGAGCCTCCGGAGGGGGGGCGGTATGTGTGCGATGTGACGATTTGGGAGTTACGGAATCCCCTGCGCGTTAGATTCTCGGGCTCATCTCCGGTGGGACTCAACGCATGTCAACACGACGGATGCCCAAATAAGTGAAAGCACGTCAGCTATACCTCCACGCGTATCGACTGTTTCGTTGTTCATGTCTGGTCGCCCACGATAATTGTACCACGGCAACTGTACCGCTATCAAGTTCATAGATACCCACATCTCGTCGAAAAGGGTGTGGCCGAACCGTTCAGTTCCGAACCCCGCTAAAGACGAGAGAAAAAAAATCGACAAAAAGAAACTCGATTCTGCACCTCGCAAAGGGAAAAAACTATCTCAAGCGTCGGCTACGGCAGTAGGGGGTGAGAGCAACCCTTTCTCGGCACCTGCCCCAATCCACGGGTACGCCCTCCCCGCCCCCCCGCCCCAGCACAGTTACCTACCCCCTAAACCCGCCCGCCTGCCTCTCACCATGTTGCCGACGGCGAGCTCCGAGGGCTTGGCGGCCACGAGCTCCCTCCCCACCTCCCTGACCGCGTCCATGAGCTGCCCGGCGGTGCCCCATTTGCAGGAGCCGACAAGGTTGCGGTAGAGCTCCACCGTGAACTGCGCGCAGTTGTAGGGTCCGCTTACTTGCCTGAGACGGTCGGCCGGGATGGAACAGTTGCAGGGGTACAGTCGTGCCTAGGGTAAGGACACCAAAATTAAGGAAACTCCCTCGGTTGAGGATGCTTGAGGCCCCCGTGCCTTCCCACGCAGGCTACTGTGCCCATCCCCCGTAGTAAGCTAACCCCCAGGGCCGATGTAGATGACATGAACCTTGATCGTTACGCACCCGTGCTCCTTCCGGCACAGTACACAAGAAAGATAACATGAACACATTGCGCGGGCTCTCTCTCGAGGGGCCTCGCACTTAGACCCCCAGCAGCATAACCCCCTACACACACGTGCTCCCCCGATCGGATCTTGTACCGTAAATGACATAAGATAACACACCCCCTGGACCGATTTTCAAATATCGATTTCTCAACAACAGAAAGAGTCACGGCGCCGAAAACGGCGGTGTTGCAACCGTCTCGTTGAGAGCTTCCCAAAAATGTATCGTTTTGTTTCTACATCCTCTTCGTCGTGGAGTTATCGAGCGTTGAAAATTGGTCCAGGGGTGTTTTATCTTGTGTCATATACGGTATCCAAGTACCCCAGAAAGAGGACAACTTCTTTTCGTCACAAGTATGGTGGCTCGCAGAATGTACAACACAAGGAGGGGTATCAACCTTGAGGACACTTCCCCCGGCTTACGGACACCAATAGCAGCAAAAATCCAGGTGTGTCCGTAACTGCGGTTAGACTGTACCGTGAAAGGTTGAGAGATGGCACCAGGTGCAATCGCTATCATAGATGTCTTTTCTCGGGTGTCACCTCTCCGATCCCGCTAGGGACGGAAGTGCAATCATATCGAGGCCTGTACTCCGTAGGTGATTGAATTGTACTTTGTTGTAGATTCTGGTTACGATACTGAAATTAGAGTGGAAGAAAGGCTAGCGTATCTAAATCGGGAAGAATAACCCCTCAAATATGCCGTTTCGTTCAGCGTTTGAGAGCACCCCGGTCTTGTCTCTCCGATGGGTGCAACAACAACAACAACAACAACAACAACAAGCGCCATCATCGCGACGCGCACCTCCGCTTGAGGCCCACGACCAGCGTCTCCAGCTGGCTCAACACCCTGGGCCACTGCTGCAGCCACGCCCTCACGTCCATGCTCGCCACGTCGAAACCGGTCGGCTTCCCTCCGTGGCTGTAGTCCACGCTCAGGGAGCGCATGTGGCTGCGGTAGGACTGCTCCATCCCTGCCCGAGTGTGTGCATCGGGCAAGCGCAGGGTAGAAATGTTACGTGCGTCCACAGTGATATGTACTCATCCGATGCAGGAACTCTTCAGGGTGGTGGTGCTGCGGAAAGACTGTTGTATTCCTACCGACGCGTGCATTGGACAAGAATCAGACGATCACAAATAGAACGTAAGTCCCGTGATGTTTGCTCGTCAGGGATTGTGAGGGGAAGTGCGTCATCAAGGTGGTGTTCTGGGGGAACACTCTCCATTGGATTGGGATAGATACAATATTGTAGTCCATGTGCCCAGTGAATATTCCGTTACGCACCGTCAGAAACATGGTCGCGGTACGGAGTGGTGTTCCTGGTTTAGCGACCCCCGGTTATGCGGCATGCCCTGTACATAGAGACCACTAAAACTAGCGCTTGGCCCCAGTACACTCCAACTGCTGTACAATCTCAGTGGTGAATCCACAAAAACACCCGCGTTCAGCAGACGCTCCGCCCCGCGCACCCTCTGGTGTACCATCCCATCCGACAGCAGTAGCCACAACACTGAGCAAAGCCGAGAAAGTGTTTCCATCGTGGCCGCGTTGCATATACCACTGCCGACATGACAATCACCTACCGGACCGTGCGGTACAATGTTCATCTACAAACGCGATAGACGGGAAGTACACGTTGTATGCTATGTGTGGACTGTTGCTGCTTTAGCTTAATGACGGATACAAGTAGTGCAGAAGGCAGGGACGGGCGTGGGGTGTTTCCAGCCTGCTGTGTGCGTGCACAAGTGTGGACTGCTGTTTGGGAAGGGTTGGTAGATCAACTAAACGGCAAGGGACCGAGTCAATCCACACGGCTACTAGCACGGGCATGCCGAGAGAGATGGACTCCAGCAGGCGGCTGCCAGCGGAGGCCGCCTGTAGCTACCTAGGTTTGAGGGCAAACCCGTCCCCGTCAAGCCCACTTCCATTGCTCACCAGCAGCTCACCGAACTTGTCATCTTACCTCCTGCTCCTCAACACCCGACAGAAACTTGCTGCCAGCAATCGTCAGCTGAATAATCCCGACGCGCTGCTGTTCCCGCAAGGGCGGTTAGGTGCCAGCTAGCAGAGATGTTGCTCGAGGACCGTGCCGGGTGGCTACGAAAGCGGGGCAACTTGGTCTACATGGGACCAGGAGGAGGGTTCGCGAGGCGTTCGTTATTGGAGGGGATACGCAACATCATTTCTCGTAAAGGGTGCTGACAGCCTCTGCGCGAGCCGCGGGCGCCCCAGTCATCCAAGTCTTGCTACACGCCCCTCGCCTCTCCGCTCTCCAACAGCAGCATGGACCGCAACCCGAGAACGTCTTCATCTGGCAGAAGGAGGAACGTTGTCAAGCCCGGGGTACGTAGATGTACGCTTTTTGCTTTTTGGCGACGCATCTGTACGGCTGTAAATGCGCCTCTCATCATTTCAAAATTTGATTTTGCAGCGGGGGTTGCGGTCTTGAGCGTGCTTCATTGCGTACCTGATGAACTCTCCAGCGTGTGTGATTTCACTGTTTTTCAAACTCTGGTCAGATGTATCTCCTTCTCTTTGGTATGATCTGCATATCGTTCGTGTTGTCTACCCTATGATGAAATTTTCTCACCTTTTATGACTCCACACCCATTGTACTGGTAGTGTGCTAACTGCACGCGGCCTTTCTCGTCCGGGCACTGCTGTAACACCTGCACCCCCCTGCTTGGGCCGGGCACTGCTGCAACGGCTTCACTCTACTACCTGGCCGGTCGCTGCTGTGACGCCCACACTCCATTTGCCGGGCATTGCTGTGACACCTGCCCTCCACTACTTGGCCGGGGCGCTGCTACTGCTGTAAAGCGCATCGACACGATTCTGGGGCACGACCGGCAAGGCCTCCGCCTCAACTTCGGCCTTGCAATGCACCAGCACCGCTCTTACACCTCGGTCCCCTCCAGCAGAGCGTCCGTGCACGGTGGCAGCGTCGGCGGCGGGCATCGCGGTGGTAGCGCCCGAGATGCTGCTAGCGCCGGGGCAGGTGCACGATACTCACTCACTTGTGAAGAATATGTCCATCTATAGTACCACTGTTTGAGTGGCACGGAAGGTTGTTCACACCCCGACAGCATAATTGTGACCGCTCATCCCCAACCAATGTGGGAAGTCATCCCTGTTGTGCAGAGGTTTCCATTCTGCCAGCGACCGGATAATGAATAGGGCTGCAGCGTCCCGGGATCATGCCAACACAATGTACTTCATTCTTAAGGGTTGCGATTCCTCCTCCATGTGTGTGCAGTCATGGAGGTACCACAATGTACGTACATGACCTACAGTAGTTCTACGCAGCAGTTGGTGGGAAATGAATTGCGCCTAGGAACGGCAATCTCCGCTGAGGTAGGTAAACGACACATTCTGCTGTTCTTCGGCTGATAATCTGATTGTCGCAATCGGAACGCGTTCGGCGGTCAACAATGGGACAGCGGTTTGCATGACGAAATGTAAATGTTGGCTTGGCTGACCTTATCGTCCTGGAGTCCAAATGATCGATGATGTTGGTTGAAACTTCTTGAAGACGTATCATCGACCTTGAACAGTATTCCACCCTGGCATCATACCGAATGGACGCACTGCATTCTCCGGCTCAGTTGCCTGATGATCTCGTGTCTGGATCTCTCCATTGCCCCGGACAGATTCATCCGAACCTCTCACTCTCTCTGGCAGCCTTAGCCAGGAGCCGTACAGTCACGGCATGTTCCCGAGCCACGGAGTTTCCCTTAGTCAAGGAACTACCAGCCAGATGGGGCATCAGGTACTGCATATGGACTGGTTGTCATCATGTGGCAGTCACGATTCACTACTGGAGAATCATTGAGTACATCCCAGAGTGATACTCTAGGGCACACCTCATTTGTGAATCGCCCACATATAGATGATGTTCAATGAAGTTTCACTCGTGTGGGCACACCGTGTAAGCGGCTAGTTTCCCTGAGGAACCGAACATCGTACTGCTTCTTGAAAGAGAGGTCGACAGTAGTTTGCGTGACACAAGCTCCATCCTCCTCAATTGCCAGAGCCTTGTTCGTGGTGTTAACCCAGGTTTGAGCGGTCCCAAAAGGGATGGAAAGCCTGTCAGGGTGCGTTGCTCTAGTAGCAAGTTGGGCCGATCAAGGGAAGCCACGGGTGGTTTTCGTGGCCCCATTTGAGACTCCGATACAGGAACACAGCTCTTCCTTCTACAATCTCGAAACGAGTCGACTCATGCTGTAGGTCTGCATGCTTGGTCCACTGTGAAACCTTTTAACACCAGTATATGGTACTACAGTTTCTGTGGCAGTGAAGTCCGAACGACGCGAACCAAGGCGAGTGAATCAACAAGCCCGATACGGTCCTCATGGTAGGCAAAGATTACCTTTGAAAGCAATGCACGACGAAATGCCCTACTCTCCCTCATAAATCTTCTTCACCACGTCATTTCGCGCACTGGCGTGCTTTCGGTCGTTGTTTGTGAATAGCATAACACTCCACTCTTGCTGGCTAACATTCTTCCGTTTTGGTATCGTGCCGATATAAACGTCCCCACCGCTTGCGGGATAGAGCCAGCAGAGCGAAACCGGTGGTTACACCATGTCTCAGCCAAGTCCTGATCTCCTCGCACCGTACGTATCCGCGCGCCACGGACACACCGGAAGCGGGGCCGGACGCGCGACGCCAACAAGTAAAGGTACTGAGGTCGACGCTGCCGGTACGACTAGAAGGATTGGCGTAGAAGGCGCTGACTGAAGCAGAGTGCGGGAGTCATTGGGCTCAACGCCAATTTTTTCACATGTTAGTGTATTAGTAAACGAAGCCTCGTACGTTGTGATGGGATATATTTCCAGGAAAAGGTGCCACAGTCCTCTCTCCAATAACGTCGAGAGGGTGAATTGCAGGGGTTGATTTCATGTGGATGCAATCCATCCGATTTCAGGCTCCAGTACTCCATGTCGAGTTATCCTTCCTTAACCGTGGTTTGGCTTGCATTCATTTTGTTTCCATTGAGCCTTCTCCGATTGGCCTGGTTGGTTCACCCGCCGCTTGACGACCGATCGAAGTGCTGCTAATCATATATCTACACACAAACGTGGTCAAGGTGGCCAAGAACGGCAAGTCGTCGAGTCGCTGCGAGGGGCCAAGAGCGGCAACAGCGCCCACCACCAAAACCACAATCACTCTAAAAGCAGACGGGAGGCACGCGGTTCAAATTTCATACCATCCACAACGTCGTCGGCGAAGGTAACTCGAGAGAATTCCCGGCGACCAGTAGCCGCGCAGCGAGCGGTGGTTTCTGCCGGGGCTCCCTCCCTTTCTCTGCTTCCACTTTATTCCCTTCGAATCTGAACTCCTTGGCCTCAACGAAGTGTGCTTTCCGTTGATGCGTGGAAAAATTTCCAACTCCATGAACAGTGCATGACGAACAGGAGAGCAATATTGCACACAAATAGGCAGGACTGTTACCAGCATAACAGCCGATTCACCACATGACATCATCAAGATCCATTATTTTGTTGAATGCCAATATCTGTTCCAAAATGGTAGGCGCGGCAGGTTCAGGTATATATAAGGAACGCACCGCAGTTCGGATCGCATGAGGCATGATCCAGCCATTCCACAGAAAGGTGTTCCCTCGAACGAGTGACAACAATACATTCCCTTTTGAATGAAATGGGACCCACTTGCTGTCGATTCGGCATGTCCGCGCCCAACCGCAACCAACCCGAACCCAAACCGCTGGCTCCTCGGGGGTTTCAGGCGCGGCGCCCGCAGCCATTGCCCCGAAACGTTGTCAGAGAGAAAGGCGATGCAATTCGCGTTTCGCATAGCCGAAGCGGCAAGGGGGTTGACGTCGAGGGAGCTGTTGGAACCACCGCCGCGGTACAAGCGTTCGACCGGCTTCTCTCCGAACAGTTCCGCAATCAGGTGAAGCTTGGAAGGCAACAGTTGCGCCCATTCCTTCAGCTCTGTTCGTTGGAATTGTTGTTGGGTTGACCGTTCAACTGGCGAAAAGTAGAAAGTATAGCGGTGGAATTCATGTACAGAGCGCATCATCAGCACGAAATGCGAGTTTATCTCGTTGCGAAAGGTACCAGTGTGATCAAAACTTTCTTGCAAACCCAAACCTCTCACGGCCAGGCCCATGTATCTCCCGTTTTGGGTTCGAATTATCGTAGCCACCTTCACTATTTCTTTTGTATGCACTTCAGGTTGAGCTGCACATCTAATTTCTTTCCTCGCCCTCTAATTTGCACGGAACGTTTGAAATCCCGAGCTGTGCCAAACCCTGTTCGTGGGCCCAGATACCAACATTGTTGACAATTTTCACTCCGGCAATCGCAAACATTTTCACTCTTGCTATCTCGAAATATTTCACTCTTGCTATCTCGAAATATTTCACTCTTGCAATCTCGACATCTTTCACTCTTGCCATCGCGAAGTCTTTCACTCTTGCAATCTGAAATGTTTCACTCTTACCATCTCGAAATCTTTCACTCTTGCTGTCGCGAAATCTTTCACTCTTGGTATCTCGCAACCTTTCACTCTTGCTATCGCGAAATCTTTCACTCTTGCTATCTCGAAATCATACGCTCTTGCTATCGCGAAAGGTTTCGGTCTTGCTATCTCAAAAGCTTTCACTCTCGCTACAATACATCAAAGATGACTCGGCGTGCACTCCCTCCCAAGGTCATGTCCGAGCTATCCGAACTGCGGACGCTCGTCGAGACGACACACGAGATCGTCTCCGACCAGACGAAAGGTCTCGACCAGGTAACGAATACCGCCTTGTCCAGCGTGATCCATGCTGATAGTGAAGTGCTTGAGCAACTGAAGAGAGGCGTGGATATCGCTCGACCTTGCAAAGAAGTTGACCAGCGGGTGTGTATGGCGGGGACTCCTTTCCGCCGGCCAGACCAGCGGGAAACGGTAGGTGCGCCTTGCATCTAACCACGGTGAAATTTTGCAAGTACGGTAAATGGAACGGAGTCAGGTACCGTAACTTCTTCGCATTGGCCGGGGGGAGGTGGAGGTCCTGATATTTCGTTCAGCGATAAGCTCCTCTGGCGAAAGCTGTATTGAGGAAGCTTGGATTTACATGAAGCACGTAGCATTGACAGTGCATGGCAAACTATGAGGCACGTAAGGGCACATTCATAACGCAAGGGTCATGCCATGCTTCGAGTTCATTGCGTCACATCGGCCACTCGCAGAACCAGCGAGTTTCAAGATCACGCGCGATTGTTTTCTTGTCATCTGAATGGCCAGGTGTCGACGGCGACGAATGAGCTTCGAGAAGATCTGCAGGGAACGCACAGCCTGGCCAAAGCAGCCAGTGGAAGTTCTTCAAAGGTGTGTGGCTTGTTGGCTTTGTTTTGTCCCATTCCCTACAACAGTAAATTTTTCAATGGTTCACTTGTATCTTCTTGCTGCGAAACACCACTTGAACAGGGTCACCACCGTATCTTCAGCAAACCCCCGTCCCCGGCGCTTTCGTACCGCCAATGGTTCTCGTTGGGCCTGATTTCGCCTGTTTCACCGCGCTCAAACGAAACACACAAGCATCGGCCATGCACTGCTCAAAACCTAACGCCACCAGACACCTCTTCAGCATTGCATGCCACTGTCTAGATAGATGCCTGTCTCAAGCCATACAGACTCTTGCCTAGTTTTACAATCACTCCACGCTTCGTTGAAATTTCACAGGTTCTGAACGTTCTTGAGACCACAACCCCGTCCGCGTTCCTGTCTCTGGAAACTCGGCTCAGCCGCGTAGAAGAGACAGTGGCCGCAGCGGCTGAGACGGCAGCGGCCACCGTCGCTACCGCCAAGGATGCCGCAGCGGCCGCCACAGCAGCGGCGTCAGCGGCCTCGGCACTCGCTCGCCGCTTCGACGAATCGGTGGTCGGGATCGACTGCCGTGAGCGACGACCAGTAGCCGACTCGGTTTCGGATGGTCTTAGTCGAAAAGGAGATCGATCACCAATTACCGACGGAGGACGACTCTCTCCCGCTCCTCAGCAGCAGTATCATCAGCAGCACGAGGGGCAGCATCACCAGTGCCAGCACCAGCACCAACAGCGGCGGCAGCAGCAACACCAGCAGCGGTGGCAGCAGGCGGAAGAAAAGCAGCAGCAGCAGCAGGAGCAGCGGCAACAGCGGCAGGAGCAGCGGCAACAGCGGCAGGAGCAGCGGCAGACGATACCACCTCCTGAGATTCTGCTAGGTGGCATCATTTCAGGGAGTGCCCAGGGGAGTGGCACGCGAGGCGGCCGCAAGAGAAAAAACGACGATCAGCAGCTGGAGCACCAGGAACCACCGTCACGCAGGGTTTTTCAACAGAGTTGTACTAACCGCGGCACGAAGGTGAGCCCTGAATCTACAGGTGTACGGTGTAAACCAAGGCAACGTACCACCCCCGGCATAGTGGAAACAGCTGGGGACTCCAGCGAACTATCGTTTGAGGTGATACTGCCACGAACAGACGATTGCGATGTCTCGCGATGGACCCCGTAGACTATGCGCTAACGTCCGCCGTAGTGTTGGTGTTGAGCACATCAGGGCCCGGTGTTAGCGTCCCACCCAGCGCGTTCAGGCAGAGATAATCACAAAACCCTGGACAAACCAATGCCTCGCTGAATGGAGGGGGGTCCCCTCGGATGCCGCCACAGCGAGGTCTTTCTTTCACTTACTCTTTCCCCCGTCGAGATCTGAACGCCACGAAATATTTTCATAGTCTACCAGAAGATATCTCTGTGCGTTGCTTTGCGCAGCCTTCTCAGCCGACACCCGGCTTTTGGAGCGGTACAGATCGGTCCCCTCTAACTGCACAATATTATCTTGTAGTGCACGCGACCGCTTAGCTCCTCGTTGCGGCATCTGGATGCTACTTTAGGAGCTGCCCGACACTCCAGAAGCCCTGCAAAGAGTCAGCCACGATACCCAGGACCGGGAGTCTTCGGTAAGAACCGCGTGTCAGATGAATGTTGAACCCAGCATCTTGTGGATGAATATGATTGGAGTATTGGATTTCTCCTTCGACGCTCGTGCCGCCTTCCATGCCTTCTTGGAAGATTGTCCTAGCTCTCCCTCATGGTGTTGATGTCCCTGCCTGCACAGGCCAACTCAATTTGATTGGGAGCGCCGGAGTCGAAGATTGTCCTAGCTCTCCCTCATGGTGTTGATGTCCCCCGCTCAGAGAATTTGCAAGAACTTGCCTGCACAGGCCAACTCAATTTGATTGGGAGCGCCGGAGTCGACACTTCCTCGTGGCCAGGAGGGACGAGCGTGGCCTTGTCCCCAAAGGTTGCTGCTGAAGTCACTCAACACCACGCCTTGAGATTTTCGGGCCATTTCAGGGGGATATTGACGACCGAGGGTGTTGATGGGCGGCGTGAAAACAGTCACTCTTTGTCTCACAATAGGAGCCCATTTGTTGCCTGGATGCCAATATTCTGTCTGGCACGTTTCACAGCCGCAACTGTTGATGCCGGTGATTGACCTAACTTTCTCTGCTTCCCGCAAACTAACGAATCAGTGGCAAGGAGCAGACGAGTCTCTGCGCTGGACCCAGCCTTGGGGTGGAGAAGCCGGCCCAGCTACCGCGGCGGCTGCTGGGGCATCCAGTCGAGTCCGTCGATCCCCCCGCCACGACCCGGAAACCCCACGTGGGGTTCTCGAGCAGCGGAATTCTTGTCACGGCGGTAGCGGCGGAGAGAGAGAAGAACGTTTTCCTCCTTCCACAGGGGGTGCTTCTTCTTCGTTTGCGTCTTCAGCCGTACCATACAACAACAGGAACAGCCAAAGGGTCGTCGACGATGCGGAGGTAGACATGCCGTCGTCATCGCTACCATTGTGCGAAGCGGACTCCTTCAACCCGTTCCAGGATGCGGACCTTGTACCCATCACTACCGGCTCGATCGGGGCCAAAGCCCCCGGAAACGTGAGCACTTCACGCCGCCAAGGTAGCCGATCGCCACCCGCGCCGAACACGTTTCCAGCCGAACAATCCGCAACAATGCGGTCTGGACTTGCGGTGCGACCCGCTGCCCGTGATTCTTCCGGAAAATCTCCAATTGCGGATGCCACTGCCGCAGCGCCGACGGTTTCTTCTTCGTCTTCCACGTCAACTCGACCGACATCAACGGCTGGAACGCGGGGAGGCGCCGTCGCGGGCGAGCCATCATTTTCGGGTTCTCATACTCGCATGATCACGAGGAAGGCCAAGGCCGGTCTGAGACAAGGCGATGGTGGAGCTGGTAGGACCCAAGCTTCAGGTGCAGGAGACGCTCCGGTGGGCCACATGGTACAGAGTCAGCAGCCTCCACCACCTCGTTCTTCGCCGAGCGGATCATCGGCTCCCCCGGCCGCTGCTAGCGGCAATCCGTTCTCCCGAGGCCCGTCGATGGACCGGGGCGACCCCGCGTCATCGGTAGGTGGCGTACACACAGCTGCTGAGAGTAAGGCGAACTGCGAGCTTTCGCACGATGTATCTGTGCGTACAAACCGACGGAATGTTTCTGGATTGGATCAAGCGCAAGCGGGGCTCATTAGGTCTGACGGAAGAACGCCGCACGAAGAGAGTGGGAAAAGGAAGCCAACATCTGCAGACGTAGGTGTCATTGAGGACGAGATTGAGGACTATGAAGACTCGCTTGGCGGCCCGGGTTTGACGGTCGAGGCGTACATGGCTGAGAAGCACAAAGCGAAGGTACGAGTGTCGGCAGGACCACTTAAGTACACGCGAAAACCCTCGTTCACTGCTGTGCGTGCCTCGAGTCATTGTTGTTGCTGGGCGTCGTGAATTGGTGTGATGTCATAGTACCACCCCGAGCGATGGCCAGTCATGGTGATATTTTAAACATCAACGTCCCCAAGACTATCCCATCCCCCGACATGCTCGAAATTTCGGAAATCCTCAGCTGAGCCAAAACAGAGGTACCTCAAAGGACAAGAAGGCGGCGACGAGTAGGAAGGGCGACGAAGAAACTCCCGCGCACGAGACGAATCGCCCCAGTGCAAGAAAGAAGCCTCCACCCCACAATCGACCATCGTCTCGCCGTGGCTCTCTGGCGCCACCAACGTCGGCCGTTCGAGACTCGAACCCAGGTGGAGGGGTCAACCACAAGTCTAACAATGACTCGTGGATGGTGGGCGGGGGTAGCGGCTGGTAGCGACCCGCCGTTCGTTGGCCACGTCAACCGACCGAAATGCAGTAGCATGATTGCAGTGAAAGCAAGCCGGGGGGATCGTCAGCTCCGAAAGGCACATTTGATGCTAACGCATGAAGTTCGCCAAACAACGATGGACAGCCTATCAACTACAGAAGCATTATCGTCCATGTCGTTCACCTGGCATTGTAGGCTGGTTGGATGACTCCAGAAACGTTTAGTTGAGACGGAGTACTTTTCATATATATATATGTCAGTTGCTTACCATATACGATGGATACTACACCATCAAATTCTTACGCTGGGCGAGCTGCATTTGATTTGTATTCAGAAGTATTTCATCTTCGTCTGACTCGGGGAGCTTGTATGTTTCGTAGGTTGTGCGTGGCTTCTCTCTTTTGTTCATTTGCCAGGTGTACCTTCTCTGGCAGTCCTTGTCAGGAAACGCTAGGCAGTTTTTTTTCAAGAAGGCGAAGACCTTGGTGCAGGATTTTGCAAGACCGGCTGATCACCTTGGCTTTCGTTGGTGGAAGGGAAATCCCACCGCTCTACCCGCCGCCGTAGTATCGTGTCCGGAACAACTTGGTTTGAGCTTCTCTGTGTCACCTGCAGCTCAGTCGAAAGTTTCCTGGTGTGATTATCGCCAACAATGCAGCGCATCAAGCATATTCAAAGTCGCAAATCCTTCACAGGCGGTATGTCTGGCGATAGACAATCCTTTTTCTCTAAACCCTCCCAGGAATGCAGGCCACAGGAAAGACATTCACTTGGTCGCTGGCCATCATGTAGGGATAGACGACAGGAAATTTCTGAATTCTTGCATTGCGAAAGTGAAGATGCACTTCACAAGCCCGTGCACCGACACAGAGTGGAGCCGAAACGACGAGGCGCGAGTGACACCTCGCTCGATTCATATAGTCCTGTAAACCGCCTCGTAGACATCAAGGATAGAACTTCGGCGCCTATGCATACAAACATCCGTTCCCAGTGAAGCAAATTTCACTCATGGGTAAAGATGCAAAAATGTTGAGTGAACGGCTTCCAATGTTGCGCTTTGGAACGAGCAAACGGTTACAAAAAAGTGTGCCAGCTCTACAAACTAGCGCTCCCATGCACGCGAATAAGATGCGTGGCGCAGAATAGGATAGGCGAAGGGCTGACATAACAGCGACGTAATGTATATCGATCGGGAGACATATTTTTTTCGTTGGGCATGCACTTACGTACAGTGTTATGCCATCACTCTGCCAAGCCGCGCTATTCCCTGGCATCCTGGCTGGTACACCCCTCCGCTCACATCTCCTCACACTCGAAGAGGACATCGGCGACGTAATCTGCTCCGCTCTACAGTGGTTCATACTTGCTATCAAGATCGCAACACGAGTGGAGTGCACGGGCAAGAGGGGCAGGTCGGCGGGGAAGAAGGCGATGATGGTGACGGTCGCAGAGGCCCTGTGGGACATGCTCTACGCTGACGACGCGGCCATCGTCTCGCTCACGCCGGAGAGCCTCGAAAAGAT